GCACTCGCGTGGGGACGTTGACCGCCACATTGTCCTGGAGGGAGAAAAACTTGTGTTGATTCGCTTCAGCCATTACGATTCGCCACCGCAGCCGCTGTCGGCTGGAGGCGATCCCAGCGGTGGGGGGCCGATGGTGCACTTCACCGCCACGCGGCAGATGGACGAGGTGCTTAGCGCCCTTGCCCCCAAGGTGCGCAAGTACTGTGTCATGTACGCCGTGTCGACAGAGGAGGTGCCGGAGTTTAATGTGATGTACGAACTGGGCCACGACCGGGAGCCCTTTGCTGTGATGTTCTTTTTCCGCAACACACACATTCGCGTCGACGTGGGCACGGGTAACAATAACAAGATCAACTTTTTTATTGAGGCGGAGGATTTGTTGCCCATCATTGACGCCGCGTACCGAGCCGGTAGGAGCGGGAAGACTATCACCAGCTCAGAGAAGAAGTTCACGACAGCCGCGGTGCGTCGATGATTAATGGGTGCCGTGAGTCTTTTTCCAACGGCCGTTTTTCATTATTTCTTCCTTCTGTGCTTGTAATGTGTTTTTTTTTTTTTTGTGCCGGGCTCTCTTCAGCCCCGACAGTCACACAGACAGAGACTGAGAGGAAGTAACCCAACATAATGCACGCCGCCTCCTACTTTTTTCCCTCCTTTTTTTTTTTTCTTTTTTTTTTTTTTCAGAATATTCTATAAGAAGAGTTAACTTGCATTTAAGTAGATAAAAAACAAAATAAAAATAAAAATAAGGAATGCGCACCAGCATTATTTCCCCCAACGGCAGTGTAAACCGCACGAGGAGAGGGAGGAGGATGCAGCTGCTTGCGGTGGTGCTTTTTGCATTCATCGCTTTGGAAACCACGACTGTCGTTTCGGCGGAAAAAGTTTTGAGGCATCCCGTGGCGTCAAGCAGCGGACGTTGCGCAAAGGGCGTGAAGGCATACTTGGTGCAGACCGTAAAACAGCGTGCGGAGGTTGCTGCCTCCGAGACGAGGGCGCGTGCAGAATTGAACGAGGCACGCAGCATTGTCGAGGAGGAGAAGGGCGGCCAGCGGGAACCAAAAGAAGACACTCAGGAGCGTGTCCGTGCCGCATGGTCCAAATTTGAGTCCGCCTCAGCAGCAGCGCAGAAGTTTGACGCGGCGGTATTGAATTCGCACGGCAAACTGCCACTCGAGTGTATTCTGGAGGTGGATGCACTGCGGGGAACAGACCCCAACGCCGAGTCGTGGTTTCGACAGACAATTCATGCACTGGAAAAAGTCGCATTACACCTGCGACTCTACGGCGAGACGCTACGTGGGGTGGTGTTATTTAATCTGGCAGAGTATGAGTCTGCAGTGTCCTCCTTTTATGATTTTGTTGAAGTGTTTAGTGCAAAGTCGCAGCAAGCCTACAATGAAATTCAACAACGAAGAAATAAAGTAACGTTTGGGGATGAGAACGGTGGCCTGCGGGAGTTGGCGGAGCTTGCGCTCATGTACACGAGGTTCATCACCCTTGCCCTTGTGCCCTGGATGACAGTTTTCTCGGTGTTTGTTCTTCTGATCATCTTTGCCCCATTTTTCCTTTCAGCGGTCCTATTACCGCAACTTGTTTGGCGCGTGTGGGTGCAACTTTTCTTTCTGCACTATACATACGGTCTGACTGTCGACGGTCTTTTTAACTCTCTGCAGCAGTACTTCGGGCTTCTCAAGGAGAAGGACTGGGCGGGGTTGCAGGAACGTTTCCTAAAGGCACTCTTGACGTTGGCGACAGCTGAAGGAAGTTTGGGAACGTTCTATAACGGCATCATTGCCGTCACACTGATCATATCAACGGTGGCAATTCTGCTCACTTTCATTTACTACTGGGTGAAGTTACCCTACTCGCTGATGGCGCGGGAAGGGGGTGGCGGGGGTAAAAGGCATGCGCGGAACCAATCGAGAAAAGGGGCGCCACAGACTTCCAGCAGCGGCGGCAGCACCACAGCAACAACAACGGCTGCGAATGCGGGTCCTAAAGACAAATCCCCCGCACATGTCAGTGAGGCCGCACGTCACAGCACGAGGATGAGCAACAGGCCAACAGGGGATGGTGGCGGCAACACTGGTAACAGTTCAGAGAAAAACAGTAAGAAAAAGGCATAAAAGAACATTATACATGTATGCTTAAAGCAAGAGAACAGGAGAGAGAGAGATAGTTTTTTTTTTTGTCCATTTTTGTCAATTTTTTCCATTTTTTTTTTTTTGATTCTTTATCTATGCACGTGTTTATGTGTGTGTCTGTGTCTTCATGGCTGTGGCTTTTGTGCGTCTGCTGTCTATTGATCGTTCCCTCCCACTTCACTTTTGAATGAGTGATGCGTGAGAGGAGGAGGACGTCGTTTGTGTTGGAACGGAAAGAAGGAAATGTATCAAGCGAGCAAAGTGACGTGGGATGAACGGGCTGGCGATGGTCGCAGAGTGCCATGGAGGGAAATAGAACGACACGCTCCCACCACGGGCAGGCGTTACTGGGGAATGGTGGGGGAGGCAATACGGGGCGAGGCGGTAAAATAGAATACCCACGAGAGATGATGAATACAAATACACACACACACACACACAGTAAAAAAAAGAAAAAGAAAAAGAAGAAGGAAAACAAAAGAAGAAAAAGAAAAAAAAAAAAAGAAAAAAATGGGGGATTTAGCGCAAAGCGCAACAGACTGACCCTAAGAGAAAAAATGGAGTGGAGAAGAGAAGAGAATGTTAACTGTGCGTTTCTTGAATCACATATGTCTGTGTGTATGTGTGTGTGTGTGTGTGTGTGCGTCTGTCTGTCTCTCCGTATTCATGTGCGTTATTGGGCTCCAATCCCCCTTTTTTTCTTTTTTTTCCCCTTTCTCTCTCTTCCTTTTTTTATAGATTTTTTTTTTTTTTGCGCTTGTTATTATTATTATTATCTTTTCTTCGTGTGTGCGTTTTTTCCGCTGCTTGCACCACCGCCATCTTCTATACTTTTTTTTGCGTCTTTATTATTATTATTATTTTTCTTTTTCTCTCTCTCTGTGTGTGTGTGTGCGTGTGCGTGTGTTTTGGCCCTCCCGTTCATCACATGAGGGGAGGAGGAAGGAACGACGCATCTCCCCCTTTCGTGTTAGCAAAAAGAAGTAAAAAAGATTTGGGGCCTTTGGGCTGAACAGCGAGGGGCCAAATTGAAGGGGACATGCCGGGGGGTGCGGGAGACACACGGGCATCGCCTGTTCAGAAGAAAATTGTGGTCCGGCGCGGGGCAGGCACGGCGAGGAAAACTTTGCAAGCGTTCCCCCCATCGTTAGCGGCTACCAGCGGCAGTGGTGGCGGTGGTGGCGTTGACAGGTTGGATGATGTAAACAGCGGTGTGAATGCTAGCACGGGTAGGCAGAGAAATGCAGACCCGCCGTCACCGACATCATCGCCAACGCAGCAACGCCCAAGACTGGATCGTATGGTTTTTAGCTCCGTTCAATTTTCCGCGCCGGCATTTGTCAATAGTATCACCAACCGTGTGCTTCTCCCCATCCTTCTTTCCCGGAGGAAAGACGCATCGCCAGCCGCAAAATCAACGACAGCAACAACAGGTGCTGCTGCAGGGGGAGCAGGAAGGCCGTGGCAACAATTCACAGAGAGTGGTGACAGTGACGGTCTGCAGAACAGTGTTCTCGACGGCACACGGTTGTTTCATGAGGATGCAGCAGCCGTGGCCGCTGAAGAGGACCACGTGGCCATTGCCAGCCACCTGACCACAACTTTAGAAAGCGCCCTTGCCGAGATCGAGATGGTGCAGGAGGAGGAGGAACGCTCCTTACAGAGCAAAGAGGTTCGATGTCGGCGTGTTGAAATACGTGAGAAGCGGCAGCTGGCAACAATTCGTCTGGGATTAGAAGCCACCACGGCGAGATTGCATGAATACGAGAACCGAGTATGCAACGCATTGGCAGCGACAGCGGGGATTGAGCAGCACTTGTCGCAGTCCAACGCAAGGATGATGCGTGGTCGCTCCGTCTCACAGCTTCTGAAGCATTTCAAGATGTTCACACAAATGAATCATTCAGAGTTGAATGCCCTGCTGAAAAACTTGTCAAAGGCACGTGCAGAACAACGGGGAAACGTGACTTCGCAGTGGGAGGTGGGGCTTGTGTCACCGGCGGATCCCATGTACTTTGGAGGAAGTAGCGGAGGTGCAGGAGGTGGTGTTGGTGGAGGGACGGGAGGTGGAGACAGTGGTGGCGGAGGGGAGGATGGGGCCGCAGCAAGAAGTGAGGAGGGTGAAAGTGGCGGCCAGGAGGATGTGGATGACAGGAATAATCCCAACCGGAAGGATGGCGCTGAACTCCACCCTGGCACCGGGGATGCACCGAATGGTGGCGGCAGAAATGACGGCAGCTACAGCGGCAGCAGCTGGGCGGATGCCGATAGGCCGCGGGGAATACTTAAACAAGGCGGCCCACGGCAACTGAGGCGTCGTGTTGGGACCATGGCTCAAGATAGCGTCGAGGCCTCAGTATGGACGGCAACAACAACAACAACAGCAACAAAAAGCGGTGGTGGCGGTGGTGTTGGTAGTAGGGAAAGGATGCATCGTATTGAAACAGCTGCTGTGGCGGCTGGCCTCGATCGGATCTTTGTTATGCGCAGCTGCACGGAGGCACAGGTGGAGTGGTGTCAGCGGCTGACACATCTTTGCCGCGAGTTGAACAGCGTAGTCAGGAACACCTCCAACATTCAACTGTACGTTGAGTGGGTGCGGCAGGAGCTGATGGCCGATATATTCCACCTTGTTGATTGCTTCAATGAACTATACAAGGAGCACCCGGCCACTGCAGTGCACCAGCCGTACGGCCGTGCCATCCTCAAGACGCTGGAACTTGTCTCACGGCTTTACACCAGCATCACGGACTCACACGACGCGCTGCTCTTTGCCTTTTACTCACGTACTATCAATCGGATGGGCATAACTCTTTTTAGCGAATATTCGCCAAAACCACTCCCTCCGCAACCACCACTCAGTGGCGAGACAACGACATCTGCACCGCTCTCCGCCATGCAGCACTACCGCCGCACAACGGAGCCGGACTTGCAACGCACTTTTGACTTTCTCATTTCTCGCGCTCGTCGTGACGTCATTGTCGTGGAGACAATTTTTGGCACGACAAACACTGCACGACAGCAGTTGCTTGCACAGGTGACGGAGGGGGTGGTGAAGCCGTTTGTTACCCAGCAGCTGAAGCTCGTGGAATTCTTTGAGCGAGACATGGTGGAGGCGGAGTCACGTCTTTCCCCACGGTCTAAACGGCGGGCGTCAGCGCGTGTTGCAGACGCCATGACTTACTCGCACACCATGCAGGCCAGAGTGTTCAGCTTTTTTCAAGATTACGTTAAAGAGCTGCGCAACACCTTTGAAAAGGGGGAGGTGGACTTTCTCAATAAATATGTCGACTCCATCTTTACAGGCCGTGCTGCCTTTGTGGAGCAGAAGGCAGAACTTGCGCTGCTGAAGCGTTACCACACGATGTTAGAGGAACAGTACACCCGAGACCTGCATTCCCTTCCAGATGAGGTGTTTGACCTGCGGGAGGCGCACATGAAGAAGACAAAGGAGCTTGTTGAGTGCCTCACGGAGGTGGTGGCACGAACACGCATTTATGCACCACCAAAAGACGTCACGGTGTGTGTTCTTGACCTCATTAGGGAGTCGCTGGAGAACATGGGCAATTATATGGATGAAGAGGTACGCAAAATGGTGGAATCGTTACGCGCCGATCGTGAGCACTGGCGTATGAAGCCTGAAAGCGAGGAGGAGTTACTGCGGCCCACCAAATTAGAGTCTCAACAGTGTGGTTTACGCATGTTGCTTTTTGTGCAGTCCTCGCTGATGATTTTGAATGATGCTATCACATCGAGTTGCATGCCTCTCCTGCAAAGTGACCCTCGTCTGGAGTCCGCGATAGAGGAGGCAAAGGAATCGGCATATGAGGCCTTGGATGAGCGTGCTGAGACGTTGTTGAATCTGTGCGCCAACGCCATCATTGTTCGCTCCTTATCCATCCTGGTCCACTATCAGAACCGCAATGACTACAAGCCGAAGGTGGCAAAGGGGGCGGAAGGGGAAATGCTTGCGCAGCCGTGTACGCGTGCCTGTACCCTTTTCTGCCTTTACATTACAAGGCAGTTTGATGAGGCAAAGGAGTTTATTCGACTTTCCAACGGTCAAGTGCCTCAGCGACAACATGCCTTTGGGATGGCTACGGGCGCAAAGCTGGATTCCTCTTCGGTGGCAAGTCTATATACGACAGGTTCAAAACAGCGGAGTGGCTCAACAGCTGGTAACGTCTCCAATGACGTGTTCAATGCCGTGCGGGCACGAGCCCGAACGATGAACATGCAACAACTATTGTACGGTGATGGAGGACCTTCTTCCTTTGTGCGTACGGTTGGTGTGTGCCTTTATCGGGGCATTGTGACGCACCTGAAGGCATTTACTGTCACCGATCGGGGAGCATTAATTTATAAACAGGATGTTACCGCGTACATGGAGGCGATGGGTCCGGTTATTCGCACACCAGGGCTCGGTGGAGCTGTGGTTGAAGTGCTGTTTCGCCTGCTAAAGGAAACAGCGAGTCTGCTGCTGATGCCATGGGGCCACATTAAAAGCATAAGAGAGACGGGACTGCTACGACTCATGAGCAACGAGGAGAAGGTGCAGTTCATCCGAATGCGTGAGGACTTGCAAGAGGGTTTTCGAAAAATTGACCACTGAGTGTGAAATGAAGTGAGAGAAAGTTTGGGGAAGAAGATGGGGAGGATGAATGGCGTATGTGTGCGTTTTGGCCCCATCCACTGAATTGTGAGATGTTGAAGGGCAAGAGCGAGTCCTTTGCTTTTCATTTTTAGCTGTGAGTTTCATCTAAAAATGGAAGAAATGACGGAAGCAAGAGGTGTGGAATTACGCGTATGTATGTCATCCACTCCCATCCCCTTACGTGCTTCGCAACTTGCCTTTTGCTCTCTGCCTTGTTGAAGTTTCCCCTCTTTTTTTGTTTTTTTGTTTTGTGGCCGTGCTCGCTCTCATGCGGAAGAAAGCCGCAGCATTAGCAGCGCCCACAGCAGACACACGGCCGACGTGCCGCGGGGCTGCCATTGCCAATAAATTTATGGAACGTGCCGGCCCCCGTGAGGGCGTTGGAAGATCAACGGAGATGCCGGCTGCTGGACCGACGGGGTCTCAAAGAAGTCAAACGCAACGGGAGGTGAAAGCGTCACAAGACGCCGACGCGGCGGCCATTAGTAGTTATTTCCAGTCCGAATTGGTGACATCTCAGTCGCACGAGGGTGTGTCTCCTCTGGCAAAGACTAGGGCCAACGAACGGCGGAACGGGGAGCAGGAGCGGGAGAAGGAACTGCCGGCGGTTGGTGGCGCCGTTCCAACTGGGAAGGGGACGGACCCCAAACAGCGAGTGCTGCAGGATTTGCCAGCGATGCACGCGGAGGGACAAAACCAGCACGGTAGAGAGGGTGACAAGGGTGTTTCCGTGAAGATGGACTCCCCTGGTCGCGTACAGGTGCTGGAGCAAATGTTGCTACACCTGGCTGCATTGAACAGACAGCTAGAATTAGAACTTATAGAAACGCGACGGGAACTGACGATGTACAAGCAGCTTTTACCTGATGTGCAGCGCCAGACCGAGGCCCATGCTTTGTCTCAGGAGCATCACAAAGCGAATAGTGCTGCTCCGCCACTGATGTCAGATGAGAGGCGACGACAGATGCTCTTCACAGGGCAACAACAACAACAGCAACAAGTGGAAGATCTGCATGGCGGTATTAGCGGGTGGGAAACGGCAGCGAGGAGAATGCGCTATGGTTACGAGGAGGGGGAGAGGGACGCCCTTTCAGATGGTGAGGGCCGTCCACGTTGCGCAGGTCGTATGGGCTCCCCGAAGAGATTCCTTTCAACACAACCGCCTCGAAGCAGCAGGAACCATCGGAACCCTCACGCTGCTAACGGGACAAATGGCAATAGTCATGTTCCCCATTCGTCCAGACAAAAAAGTCACCCGACAAGAGGAGCTGCTGTAACTTCCGTACCGTTGGCGGCGTCCGCAACCAATCGCCGAGGTCGTTCCATGCGACAACATACCCGACCCCGCGGACCTTCTCATCTTTTCGAACGCCTCGACGCTGAGGATGCAATTGATATGCTGGAGACGCTGAAGCGCTCTCTCATGTATCGCTGCAACCACTCGCATCATCGATCAACAGAAGGAGATGTTGTGCGGCCCGCCGCGAAGCCCCGGAAAGGCACGCGGTCTGTTCCACCACCACCGCCACCACCGCCCATGTCATCATCGTCACAAAGAAAGCTTGCCGCCGCAGTTGCTGGAGCGCCGGCATGCAGCGTCTCAGCACGACACGGAAGGAACCATGGCGTTTCTGCGGTGGGAGATCCGTCAAGGGGCAATCGAGTTTCAGAAACAGCTCGCATAGCTCATGCTCCTTCTTTTGGGGGGAAGAAATGCGCGCCGGGCCTAACCCAACTCCATTTCTCTTCCCCTTCCAGAAGGGCTACGCCGATGAAAAAAGACACGCCATTGTCACGTGGTCAAGCGGCTGGAGTAGCAGCAGTAGCGGTGGGCGGTGACGGGCAGCTAGAGGCACTGCAGAGGCGTTACTGGGAACAGTCCCGTGCGATATTGGAGCAGCTTGAAAACATGCTGGCAGCTGATTGAAGTCTTTGGCATTAGGGATGACAATCATAGTCGTTTTGCAGCTTCGTTGAGGTTGGTACATTCTGAGAATTGTATCTGCACAGGGTGCAGTGATACACACACACACACACACATACAAATACATGTACACTTATGTTGTTTGCTATCTACCAGGAGGGGTGAGGAGTGAGTGGAAATGAGCAAGCGGGTGAAAGTTTTCTTCCTCACAGTCTCCCGGCGACGCGAAGAGCAGGAGAATGGAAGTACAATGCGAGAAGAAGAAGAAGAAGAAGGAAAAAAAAAAAAAATAAGGAAGTAAAATGACGTTCGAGCGTGGTTAAGCATACCCTTGAGTACACTGAACAGATAAACAAGCACAAGGGTACAGAAAAATGAAACGGGATTGAAAAAAAAAAAAAAAAATAGACGCAGAGAGAGAAGTATGAGAGAATGAGGGAGGGAATAGGGTGAATAGAGGGGTGAAGCAGCGTTGCATGCAGCCGATGTGAAAACAGTGGAAGAGCAAAATTTTTTTTTTTTGTTTTGTATTTTTTCTTTTTGTGTGTCTTTTTTTTTCTTTTTCTTTTTTTTTAGAGGTATCGTTCTCTTCCGTACGGCATGTGGATCCTGTTCTTGTTTCCTCTCGCTCGCTCGCTTTCTCTCTCACGCTTTTTTTTTTTTTTCTAACCCATTCCAATACACACACACACACACAATTTCTGTCCTTCCCTGTCTGTTGTCATTGTGGTGTTTCCCTCTCTTTTTTGGAGGCCATGTTTTTTGCCCATGTTTTTTTTTTTTTTTTTTTGCTTGACTTTCTTCTCTTTCATTCGTTATTTGTTTTTTCTCCTTTTGTGTCCCACCCCTGCGGTGTCGAGTGGCCCGCCGGCGAAAGGGGAGGGGCGGACACGAGAGGAAGGCGGTTCTAATTTGTTTTAAACAGGGTGTCTTCTCACCAATAAGAGGGGAAACAATAAGGAGAGGATAGCGGAGCAGGGATGGTTGCGGGTGCGGCGGTGTCGAAGGAGACGCGGGAGATTGTGCGGCAACGCAGAGCAGAGTTAAATGCGGAAAAGTTGGACGAGGAGAAGCGGCAGCTGCGCGGTCGCTGGGTGACGGACAACAATGCGCTTCAAAATGCAGAGGCTCGCAAACGCGAACAGTTGCAGCGTCATGCCCCGAGGCGTGTTGCACGTGTAAATCTTTTTACAAAATTGGAAAAGACAGACACGGGGCTGGTGCTTGACGACCGCGAGGTCGCCGACCGCGTCACGCAGGACGACATTGTGGCTGCTGTAGACCTTCAAACACAAGAGAAGAAGTATGAGCTGCTGCTGGATAAGTTAGGCCCGTACAAGGTGGACTTCTCCTTAAATGGCACTCATCTTCTTCTCGCAGGGATGCGGGGACACGTAGCAAATATTCGCTGGAAGGATTTTGCGCTCAACGGCGAGGTGCAGCTGAAGGATCGGGTCGATGATGCCAAGTTCCTCGTTGATCACACTATGACGGCGCTGGCGCAAAAGAAATATGTTTACATGTACACCAAGGAAGGGTCGGAGATGCATATTCTTTCTAAAATGGCAAACATGGACCGACTGGCGTATCTGCCACGGCACTTGCTTCTTTGCGCAGCCTCTACTCGTTTCAGTGTTATGCAATACATGGACATCAGCACAGGGCAAGAGCTGGGTGCAAAGGTGCCCTCTGTGGTGCGAGACCCTACCTCCTGCATGGATGTCAATCCGAGCAATGGGGTGATAGCGAGCTGTGATTTGCGTGGTGTGGTGAAGTTTTGGTCTCCAGTTGTGTTAGACCCACTTGTGCAACTCAAGGGTCACAAGGGCGTCATTGACGACATCCGATTTCATCCAAATGGCCGATTTTTTGTGACACTTGGTGGGGATCACAAATTTAAGGTGTGGGACTGTCGCACACTGCGTGCCCTGGAGGAGTACGCCGTGACGTACACCTTCAACACCATCGACATCTCTAGTTCCGGCCTCGTCGCTATGGGGGGTGGCACAAATGTGCAGTTGTGGAAAGGCATCTTTTCCAGTGCCAAGCCAACGGCACCGTATATGAAGTTTGGACTTGGCTATGGTAATATTGCCCAGCAGGTGCGATTCTGCCCATTTGAGGATGTGTTGGGCATCGGTCACTCCCGTGGCTTTCAGTCGATGCTCATCCCTGGCGCCGGGGACGCGAATCCGGACTTTTTCTACGCCAATCCACACGAGACGGAGAGGCACCGGAAGGAGCGTGTCGTGTCAACGCTGCTAGACAAACTGCCGCCCGACACCATTTCCCTTGACATTCAGGTCCCTGGTGTCAACGAGGCGCGGCTTGCAGAGTATAATGAAAATATACGCCTTAATCGAAAGGCGAGGGCTATTCGCGAAAAGAAGCAACGTCGGGCGGACAAGTCTCTTGCCGACGCCGCCCCGACTGGACTGCAGGTGGGCAATGACGATGAGGTGGACGAGGATATTGGCTACTGGGAGCGTCCAGCGACGCGGGAGCTAAAGTCTAGGAAGGAGAAGCTGAAGGAGCGGAAGATGCAGAAGTGGGACAAGAAGGACAGCTCGGACAAAGTACGGTCAAAGCAGACCATGCGCACCTCCAAGATTGCGCAACAGCGGCGGGCAAAAGTCCGGCGAGCGGGCCGCCGTGACAAGAACGAGGAAGAGAGGGAGGAGGAGAAGGGGGAGCGGAAGAGAACGCAGAGTCAACTCAAGAAACGTCGGCGCGAGGAGGCTGAATTTGCCGACGACGTCCGTTTGCTGCGCGGTCAGCGTCAGCTCTCGGACAAGGAGGGGCACGAAGGCACCGTAGTGTTGTCTTCATCGGAGTTGATGCATAACGCGGCCCTCCGGCGGTTAATGTAAGGAGGGAGAGAGGGAGAGAGAGACAAGAAAAAAAGAAAAAAGGAGACGAAGGAGTCGTTGCGACATTCCCTGCTGCTTTATTTGTTGTATTCCGTGTTCGGGGAGGGGTGTGAACGCTGCCTGTCCGGGCAAAGGAGGCGGGGCCTCTCTCTCACTCCCTCACTCTTTCTCCGTGTTTGTTTGTGTATGGGACGGAAAGTAATTTGCGGCGAAGGTTTTAACAAGAGCAAAAAGTGTTCACGATTAATAAAAGAAGGAACAACAACAACAAAAAATAAGATTTTTCTTCTCTGCAATTGAAAGTTTTGGGATGGGAGAGTCAATTGTGCGCATGCGTGTTTTGGCACATGATATGAATTGAGCCTGACAGATAAAACATTGCCAAAGACGTATGACGTTTGGCATCGCCGCCACTCCTTTTTATTTTTATTTTTGCCCTCATTCTTTATTCTTCTTGCGGCCCTGAAGGGAAGAAACGCCTCTCATCTGGGGGGTAGTGGACCGGACAGTCCGCTTGCTCTAATTTAAAGAGCGCCTGAAGAGAGTGTTCACGCACATCTATACGTATATAGATACATATAAGATAAAAACAAAAGGAAGTAAAAAGAAGGAGTTATTTCTGCGTGAGTGTGTGTGTGTGGGAGAGAAACAGAGGGAGTTCTTGGCGCGCAATGGACCTTGGCTTGCATCTTATGACAAGAGAAGAGGCGGTGGTGATTTTTGTGGACATGGATCCTTCTATCTTGCTTACCGACCACGCATTACCCTACCCGCTTGGTGCTCCAGTCCAAATTGGCAGCAGCAGCAGCAGCAAAGTTACAGATGGCTCGGTGGAGGGCGCGGGCACATTGGGGAGGGTGGAGAGTGCCTTTAAGCCTCCCAAAGCACGCATTGACGTCATCCGGCTGGCGTTGAGTTCTTTTCTTCATCAGAAGTGGTGCGCATTGCCTAATCCGTCCACATCTTTGTGGTTTTCTCTTTATGCCGTGAGGGATGACATAATCGAGTTGCTTCCGCCCACACGTGGCGAACCGACTGCCATCGATGCCACCGTTAAACGGCACATTAGGGCGGATGCGGAACCAACGGCATTAGCAACCGCGCCATGTGGTTCGTTCCCGTTTTGTTCAGTTGCGGATGTGCTGCAGCGTACGGAGGAGATGCTCACCTCCGCGGGCGGGGAAGAAGTGAAATATGGAGGAGGTGACGTGTCTAGAAGGAACTCCCAGGATGGTGGTGCTGGTGCCTTAAAAACACCACTATTACCACAGACGGCAGAGCCGCGTAAGCTCATGCTCATTCAAGGTATAGTTTTGCTCAACCGTGATAGCGCCTTGCCCACTTCGGCACCACCACCTGATGCCGTTGGCTGCGAACTGCTGGGCTCCGGCCTTGTTGTGCGACGTTTTCTAGACGTCATCCCTCTCGGTAGTAAGCGCCGCCCCTCGCCACTACTGAGGGGTGTGAGGGATTGCCACACCGCGGGTGTGAGTCACACGGAGACACCGAAAAAGGGCAAAGACGCCCCAATTCCGTCGAAGCAGACGATGGTGGTGGAGTGTCCATGTAATATTATAGACCTTGTCAGCTTTACAGGGGTGCCAAATCGTGGCCTTGCCCTTGGATGTGCCCTCACGAAGCTGCTTACACCACACATTGAAGGGAGCTTCAATTTTTTTTCCGCTCAGCCGCTTCGCAGAGTCAACCTTGCTCTTGTTTCCAAAGAAATACGACGAGAACAGCAACAGCTGGAGGCGAGCGCACGGAAGGGTACCTCAGCGCCATTGGAGGCCAAGGCAGAAGTCCCCGTAGGACGACTGCCATTGTACGTGAAGGGAAAAAAGCCGTTAACGGAAATAAAGACTGGAGCACCGCCCCAGCGACCAACAACCGGCGATGCTTCCTGTGAAGTTGGTAGCAGTCTATCGCTGATGACGGGCACCGCCTCTTCTAGCCCAGTGCGTGAGGTCGTTGGTAATGAACGCGAAAATTCGGATTCATTGATGCTGCAACTGTTGCCAGGGGTTGCTGTTAAGGAAGTACCCCGAGTAACGTCGTCGTCGTCGTCCTTCTCACCGCCGTATGTTCGTGGAGTGTTATTGGGGCGAAATTTGAAGGAGAGGAAACCGTAGGGTCTTGCGCATAACCATGTCGCGGCGAGTCTTTGATTTTTATTTTCATTTTTGTATCTTTCTCTCTCTGTGTGTCTGTGTGTGAGTGAAAGTAAAACGTACCTGCATGCGAGAATCCGATTCTATACCGCCTTTTTGTTCCGGAGATTAGCGACACTCGCAAGCTCGAGAATACGGGAAAAGCCGGGAAAAAATATATACACATATAGAAATTAGAAAACAACAACAACAACAGAAAGGCGGCTTTGTATGTGTGATAAATGACGTCTACGGCCATTCTTGGCTGTTGTGCCCCCTTCACTCTCACGGCGGGGATCATATTATTTACATTTGCAGCCTTCATGCAGCACGGGAACTGGACCTTTGAGGTCCTTTCGGCAAAAGAGGGGTGGTCTTTAGACGAGAAGGCGGCCTGCTGCCGAAATGCGGCCATCTTTTACATTGTTCTCTCGGCTGTGCTGTGGGTGTCTCTTTACCTCATGCGTTTGTTTGGTAAGGAGGGGCGGAAACAAGAGCAACTCCGGTTTGTCTCAGACGCAAACGGCCGTGTACACAACACCACCAACGACGATTCTGCTGATGATGATGATGATTATGGGAAAAACGACAGGGCAGGCTGCCGCCGTTATCAATCAGTGTCGCCGTTTCTGCGGGAAGGCGCTGTTTTAGCATCCAAAGAATGGACGTTGGGAGACAAAGATGTGAGCCTTCTAAAGGCACATGCATAGAAATACAATGTCTCTTTGGTGCCTCAGTGAGTTTTATGCTACGTGAGTGAAACAATTGCTTCATTGTTTTGTCTCCCACCCTCTCACTGTGCGTTTCTCTCTCTTCTTCACGGGGCCTTTTTATTTTGTTAAGGAATCGGTAAGGCCTTTTGTCTTTTCTCTCCTATTTGCCTTTTCTCTTCCCACGCACAGCCGCTTTTTAAAATATTTTTACGCTAATAATGATGCGTTGTGGTTACGAGTGTACATGCTCCGAATAATAATAAAAAACAACAACAAAAAAACAAAAAAACGAGGGAAATGAAAATTGAGGGTTAGGGGGGAAAGAGGATGAAAATCAAAACAAACAAACAAAAAAAACAAAACGTGGCAATGAATGCTCAAGGATGGGTTGCACTTGCACATTCACAATTATATCAAATGATGGATGCGAGTAGAATTTTGTTGGTGTTGTTTGTTTGATTTGGAAAAAAAAAAAATAAAAATAAGAAACCGGTTTTTTTTTTTCTTTTTTTTTGTTGTTGTTGAAATGAAGCGGCGTGACACTGTGCTTCATGCCATGATGAAAGTCTGGTGGGAAAATAGATGATGAGGAACACGGCATCCTTGTGTACTATTATTACTAGTAACCCTTAGTACGGCTACTGCTGTTGGTGTTTTTTTTTTTAAATATCTCTCGTTCTGCATCATCTCTCAGACAAAATGTGTGAGTCTTTTTTTTTTTTGTTTGTTTGTTTGTTGGGCCTCATGTGCCCGCGTGCCCTTCTTATTCCTGTTTTTTGCTGTTTCTGCTGCATGGATGACTCATCTCCCTTTTTTTTTTTTCTGCTGTCTTTTCACGGTCACTACGGCAGCGCGCAGTGGGGGGAGGGGGAGAAGAATCCGTGAGGGGTGTTGAGAGGCGACACCACACACCCTCGCTGGCTGCGGGACGTGTCAGGGGGGAAACACACATACACACATATATATATATAGAGGCAATAAAGGAAGGGGAAAAGTGGGTGAATTGCAAGGCGTGCCTGCTCGTTTCACAGGAGGGGAAAAGTGACATTTGCGTGGGCCAATTCAACGTTTCCGATAG